CGCACCTTGGTCGTTTGGGCAAAAAACAGTTGCCTCTCCTTTCTGGAGGCATTTGCAACATATGCCCAAACTACACTGTTATATTATACTGAAAAATTATAAGATAGATATTAATCCCTTAAAAACATGACGGTTTTCGTCACCCGCTGAACAGCGTACAAACATTCATGGCTTGATGGACTGAACATCTGAAAAGCGCATCAGGATTGCATTAGAAATGGTCAGAAAACAGCTTCTTTCATCAAAATTAAATGGTTAAGACCTAAAAAATTAGAGCAACAGTGCCACCCCAGACATTGATATAATCATCATTCCGATTTGTGAGTGATAATGTCGCCGACGTAATCCCGACTCTGACATAAAGTGTAACGTTTTACATCTGAAAACTGAAAATGTATAAAACCGATTTATATAAACAACGTAAGCAAATTGATCAAACTGGATGCTTAACCAGTAATGATATTTTGGCTCGTGGCATTCTTCAAGGTGGTCTGGGTGGATTTTCGCAGTTCGCTGTGTGGTCCGCAGATACCATAAAAATACACGCTTGCGTTATGAAAATATAAACCTTTTTGTAAATGTTTCAGTTTGCAGTATGATCACCAACGCACGAACGAAACACTCCAACCCTGGGAGCATTTCATATCTGGCATTACTAGTCTCACTAATGATGACAATATTATTCGAAAATATTTTTGTAACGTCATTTTCCATTCTCGTTTATTTTATTCGGACGTTTCGGCCTCCGGACACAAAAGCCATTAGGAAAATTTTCACAATAGAAAGACAGTATGGAATTCAATGGTAAAGAAGAGAAAAATTACCAATCAGCCAGGTATAAAAGACGATAAAGCGAATATACAGCATAACTAGAAGGAACCTCACATAGAGGATGAACTGGGTGTTGAAACTGAAGCAGAAAAGGAAGTCGCGAAAATTAACAAGTGAGCATTTTTTATTTCGATAACTACAGATTTCTAAGCAGAACAGATTTCAGTTGAACTGGTGTAGATACTGCACATCCTTTCTTTGAAAAATGACATAAGAAAAATTTTTATGAGTAGGATGTCTGTTTTTTTCACAATCAAGGATACTGATGTTTATTTTATTAAAATCATACCTGCACTCTAAAGAACGGGCAACCATCTCGGAATGCTGTGGATCCTTCCAATCAATCCATCAACCCCTCCAAACAGCATCTCGCGGTTATTCAATCCCCAGGATAAGAGTCCTGCATGTTTAAACAATGTAGATTCAATTGCAGTTTTCACAAATAATCTGATAAAATACAGGAGAAATGTCATGGTTAATCTGGAGTAAAATCGCCTATAGAAAATAGATCCTAGCGGGTTCAGTGTTTTATAAAGAACCCGAAGCCCTGTTTTCTCAGATCATATTTATGCGCGCGAAAGGTGACAGGATTAAACGGAATAAAGACGACTTAAGTTGGCTCTTCAGGCTCTTACGGTGTATCTGGATCCATAAAATTTAGCCACCTACCACTCATGCTATTGACGACATCGAAAATCATACCGGCTCAGTCGTCGCTGGGGATATCTAGGGCCCCGCAGGCTATTCGGGGACTGAGGAAGACTGTGAAAAGTCGGTTATCGGAACCTGCTCATCACCTTCTGTCAGCCGGGGGCGTAGCAGCACAACAATGCCTGAAGAAGACCGACGGAACGACGACGAACATGCCTATCAGCAACAGAGTCCCTACCCGTTCTGAAGGGAGGAGAAACACAGCGCGATGCCATTATGGCACGTCAGAAAAGGCTCCACGAGAATGACACCACTACTGGGAACTTAAAATCGGAAATTTGGAACATATCCTCACTCAGAGGGAAAGAGCAAGAGTTAGTTAATGAGGCCATAAAGTACCGATTCGACATCATTCGACTCTCGTCAAGGAAGCACCAAGGCTCTCGACAATAGAACCTCAAAGGATAGAACCTATTCTACTCAGGCGTCGATATCATGACTCGCATTCAGGCCGGTGTTGGCGTTCTGGCAGAACCAACTCGCAGAAAAATCACTGACTGGAAGCCTATCGGCGGAAGGGTGGCAATCTTCCGACTGAGTCTACAACAGGCTAAAGCGTTAACCTTGGTTTAGGTAAATGCGCCCAATTTGGAGGGAGAATGTGATACCTTCCTTCATTAAGTGCAGCGTGCACTGTCCGAAGTACCGAATACAGAGTCCTTCATACTGATGGGCGATTTTAATGCGCATGTCGAAGAAGACGCCAAAACGTGGAACGGCGTGATTGGAAAAAAACAGCCAGAGCGACCTCAACAGTAACCACATGAAGTTGTTGCGGTTTTTTGTAAACGACGGATTGTCCATTATTAGCACCTTCTTCGAGCATCGAAGAGTGCATCAGTACACCTGGTACCAGGAAGCTTGTGCACAGAAGTCGATCGATGATCGACTTTATAATCGTATCGTCTGACTTCAGACGCTCTGTAACGGATGCTCGCATTAAGAGAGGCGCAGAGCTATCAACCGATCATCACCTTCTTGTTGCCACGCCACCCTTCAAGAAATTCAGAACCATACGAAGATCTGGTAGCGGAAGCAACCGGAGTATCAAATGGAAAACATCATTTTCTGTGGCCACAAGAGCGAAATTCGCAACCAACACTGCACGACGGTATGAACAGATCCCAGTAATGACAACCGATGTAGAACCCGAGTGACAGCTCTTTAACAGCGGTATACTAGAGGCTGCCATTGAATCTGCAGATTTCAACGGGGTGGCCTGCCCTTTGGAAGTCAGAAATGATCCTCCTGGTGGACACGAGACGTACAACTGGCAGTTAAGGAGAAAAAGCAGCCTTCAGAAAATGGCTTGGAAAAAAGAGCGTTCTATTCGCGTGCGATGTGTCGAGGCACGCAAGGGGGCAGCGAAAACAGTGGCGAAAGCCTAAGCTGATTCCTTTCAAAAGTTCGGTGAGGTATTGGAGTCGAATTTCCATACGGCAAAGTATTCTGGCAGACCATCTGCCGGCTTTGAGGTGAAAAGAAGGGCAGACTCAGAGTCTTGAGAGACACGTCTGGACACCCTGTTACCAAGAATGATGACATGGAGGGAGTACTGTGAGAAACTTCTTAACCCGCAACCGCTGGAAAACTCGCCTGTACAGTGGAAGGGTACGGATATAGTATCTTTGTAGATGAAATTACACAAGCTGTGAAAAGCTTGAAGGCTGCTGGAATTGATGAAATCCGCTCTGAGATGCTACAGGCATTAGACGAACACGGCATATGGTGGCTTACAAGTGTCGTTCAAACTGTGATGACTTCGGGAAAGACAACAGCGGACTAAAGAACGGGAATTATTGTACCCATATTCAAGAAGGGAGACCACAAGGGATGCTGCAGTTATAGGGGCATTATGTTATTTAGTTTCCGAGGTAAAATCCACGCAAAAATGCTAGAAAGGAGCCGCGAAATAGGTGACCTCAAAATACAAGAAGAGCAGTGTGGTTTCCTGCCCGGTCCAAACACCTCTGATCATACAACTGCCCTGCGCCAGATAGATGAGAAATCGTAGGTGAACACCAGTCCGGTATACATGCGTTTTCTTGATTTAGAAAAAGCCTACGACCGGGTTCCACGAAACAGTCTGTGGTCATGCCTTCGCGCATACGAGATTGATGGCCAGCTGCTAAGGGCCATCCAATCACTGTATTCTGATAGCAGGTGCTGTGTCACAGTTAATGGTGTTAAGTCGAAACCATTCAATGTTCGCACTGGTCTCCGACAAGGTTACGTCCTGTCCCATATCCTGTTTGTGTTGTACATGGATAGAATAGTCAGGAGCTGCCAAGGCGATGAGGGTATCGGTATAGGGGATGTGAAGTCGAAAAGTTTGCTGTATGCAGACGACCTTGTTTTATCAGCATCCTCTGAAACTGATCTCCAGTGCTCCTTAGAAAGGTTCGCAGCCGAGTGCGACGTGACCGACATGCGTGTGAACGCATCTAAAACGAAAAGCCCAGTGCTTTCTCGTTCTCCTGTCCATTGGTCTCTTCAGATTAACGGAGAGACGGTAAAGCAGGTGGAGAAGTTCAAGTACCTCGGAACTGTATTTACTACTGATGGAAAATTGCAGGAAGATATCGACCGGCGAATTGGAGTAGCCAGTAGCGTTCTACGTGAACAAGCCTAACCCATTGTGACTACGGCAGAGCTAAGTCTGAAAACTAAGCTCTCGGTGTTAAGGTCGATCTTTATCCCATGACTACCTACGGTCATGAGTCGCGGACCATCACTGAGACTCTTTGAACCCGGGTATAAACTGCGAATACTGACATCCGAAAGAGCCTTGGTGTACAGCCTTTGCTTCTCCAGATTGAGAAGTTACCGCTGCGATGGTTTGGGCATGTGTTGCGAATGCCTCCAAAAAGATAGGCTAAGCCACTCTTTCATGCGATACCGACCGGCAGAAGGCCCAGGGGACGGCCAAGATGAACCTGGTGCAAATATATGGAAGGAGTCTGTTCCAGACTCCAGTTGTCTTTTGTCGAAGCTCAGACTCTGGCACAGAATCGGGAACGTTGGAAGCTGCCTGATGCGTCTACCTCGGCGACCCGAAAGGAGAAACAGCGATGGAAGATGAAGATGATGATGAAGGTGTATTTGCGACAATGAACGTTGGAATTCAATTAACAGCATGGGCATCAATTTACGCGAAGCATGTTTTTCAAGATGTTAGAACTCCTTATTAAGGATGTCGTGTTCTAAGCAATACCTTGTAATCTTATATTATTAGCCCTTAAACTTATATTTTTATGATTATTCGAAAATTCCTATTCAAAACATGGGTTTTAAAACAACGTCTCGAGTTTCGACTTTGTTTCTGTCTAGAACTGGCAGTAGCTTTTTCTTATTATCTACGGCACTGGATCAACTAAAGTTTCCATACAGAAGAAAACGTACAAAACTGTTATTTAAGAGAAAATCAATACAGCTTGATATCAAACAGAGCCATACTAGAAGAAGTTGACTATATGACTAAGACATAAAAGCCTTGAAACTACCCAAAATGAAATGTCATTTCGACAAGCAGCAAAAATTTCAATCACAGGAACTGAAATGACAAATAGCTTTACAATCGCTACGAGTCAGACTGAATTTCTCGAAGTTTAGCCAAACTGGCTCTCGGAAAATAAAAAGAAAAGTTATCACCTAGCAGAAATTCTAAAATTAAAACATTATTTGAAAATACCATGGGCCGAGGTCCGCTAAATTGTTTCCCAGGCGACCAGAAGCAAGAGACGGTGCAATATTACGATACTACCAGGTGTAAGATTTCGTTCTCTCTTACACTAGCGCAGTATCGGTGTAAAGTATGAAATGAATTTTTATTCCTGCAGACTACGTTTTCACCGTTGAAATATGGTATCATTAAGTTTAATAATAATACATTATATTCTTGCTTAATTACTCACTGAAGCTGAAAAGTGCTATTTCAGAAGGAGGATTAGTCCATCGCGAACTTCTAAAAAAAACAAATCTAAGAAAAATTTATTAACTTTCGCAATAAAGATAATACGGAGAAGCAATTTAGCAATTTTTTGACTACTGAGTTACATACCTTCAGGACTATTTGATCAAAATAGGCATATGCTTCGGCTAAGAGGACGAGATCAATATCAGCCTTTACCGCGATTTTCTTCAAATCTTTCTTCAAGCTAAATTGCACATATTAAGTGCAAGGATTTCACTGCAACAGCATCATCAAACAGAAAAAATGAAGTATTAAGATACACTTACCACATATATGGAAAACAGACCTTACCTTTGGTACTTGCTATAAGTTAGCTGAATTTCAGGATATTTTTTTAGAAACTTTTCATTCATCTCTTTTTTAAGCTCTTCTGCATTTGTGTAATCAATCACCGATGTCTTTAATGAAACAAGCAAATTCAGAAAGTGCCAAAAAATTCAAACTAAGCCTACCATATACGAGGTAAACGTCAAAGTTGTTTTATGAATTCGCGGCCTGAATTCTGAATCATCCAAAATACTCGATGGAAGTTCGAGGCGGTAAAACTCATCCTCGAAATACGTCTCTGCAGAAAATATGTACAGATATACAAATAAGTAAGGAAATTCAGTGCACGTACTTGGATTGGCAACAGCAGAGAAGTCGAATGAACTGAACGGCAATTCATACGATTGAGATCGGCTCGGTTTCAACAAGCTGCTATAAGATATGGCCTAAAGATTCCATAATAACAAAAAGTAGGCGTCCTGTATGTGCTCTTCAAGATCTTTTTGTATATATATTTATGATGAAATGTAGTTATGAGTTCTTTCTTTGACTATTGTGTACACATAACGTCGTATAGAGCAGGCGTTGAATAACAGTCAGTCATTGTCCATTATAAAAGATGGTTATTCGGTATCTGACATGCTCTGATGTACGAATAACTTATGATGTTTATGCGGCAACTTATAATGAGTAACAGTTCCTGGTACATCGTCTGTGATGAACGCAAGGTGGCTCTAGCGGATAAACTGTGAAAGGATTTGGCACTGCAGATGCTCAAATACCATAAAGCCGTAGCCTGCTTAAATGCTCAACCTAGACAACTAGGAGAAATGGGAGGTACGATAATCCATGAAATCTGGTCTTTAATGAATCATACCCTATTTAAGAAAAATGACTGATATCAATTTAAGCTGTTTAAAGAATCTGGATCAATGACGCGCCACCCTCCCACACATCAATCAATACACGAACATGAAGAAGCTACTAACCTAAAAAATGGCCATATGCAAATCAGCTTACATAGTGCAATTGTGCTGAAAATATCGAGTTTTAGTTTAAGTTTACGCGCAGACATAGCAGCACAAAATATCACCTACTGCGGGACACGACTTGGAATGATCTCAACTTGGTCAACATCTGCACCTTGAAGAAGGCTCCTGAGATACGGCCCAAAACGTCAGTATCAGCCGACTGACTATCTATTTACTTGCTGTGTAAGATGAACAGTTTCCACGCTATTTTTCAGTATGACTCCCACTATAGGAACTAAATATTTCATCGGTGTATAGCAAAGATCAGATTCAAGTACACGCATTTTGATAAGATGTCATCTGAGCCACCATCCATAGCAATCCTCAAAGGCAGCACTACAACGCCTGCTATTAAACAGTCTATCCACTGGAAGACGAATGACAGCTAGGGACAAACACAGAAGGAAGATATCCAAAATTACTAATGTCAAAACCTGGGAGGAAATATCATTTCAACCGGCTTGTGTAGTTCATACTAGGAAATTCTGTCATAGCCGAAACTTCCAAAAATACAGTACTTTTGCCTAAGTGCTGGTTGTCATAATGAAAAAATAGCACAGAATGGTATTTCGTTATATACAATGAAATACAATAGTCTATCGAATAACATACAATAAATTGAGCACAAAAAATATTGCTTTATGTACAATAAATGGTTTGTAGGCTGTTTTTAATGCAAATTTTTTCAAACGATGAATGACAACTAACTGTCATGGCAGCATAGAAAAAAAATTTGATTCAAAATATTGCACAGCTGACTACACTGGTTTATAATTCATTGATTTAAAGTTTACTTTGTCACCGCTTTGTTCACGCAGAGAAACAACATATTTAAATGAAAATTTCTCAAAACACTAATTGAGCCTCAGTTACAACAAAATAAATTATTCAGCTAACAGTAAAACAGTCACTATCGTTAGTCCAAAGCCTATGGTCCCCATATACAGTGGATTGCTATGTGAACGGATGTTTCCAGCTAAGATTATTAACTAGCGCGTTTCCAGCATTACACGACAGCAGAGAACGTTTAACGGTAAATATGTCTGGATGGTTTGAGAATGCATAGGGTCACAAATTACAAAATGGACTGGAAGAAAAGCCGGTTACATAAAATCTTCCCATTTAGTTACTAATTAAGAATTTATAGTTAGTTTAACCAGTACAGCCCAACTAACAATGCAAGAATGATTCGAATTTCGATAGAATTAGATGTGTTTCATTGTTTCCGGTGAAAACATCCGTCACGATGCTTGCCCTTCGCTTGCTGCAAGCTATGTTAGAGAATTACCACTCTTCCGCTGACGGGCTTCCGCTCAATAACTCTATCAATCCGGTTTACTTCTATCAGAACAGCAAATCGGACTGAGCGCAGGTCACAGAATCGACACCTAAGAAGAAAAGCTTCCAGTCGTAAAGGTTCAGAATTCCAAATCTCTTGACGATAGTTTCGCCTACGCTCTGTAGCAACCCTTTCTTTTCCT